GGACCACAATTGCAAGTCTTGAATATTCTGCGTTCTCCATTTTCACCTGTAGAGATATGTATAATATGTAGAAAAAAGGATTTATGATCATATGGAACATAATTTTCCATCAGATAGCATCTAATAGAGTTATTAGATTTATCTCTTAAACTTTGTCAACATTATTCATTTAAATGTCAAAGTGGATATGGTCAAAGTTATTTTTGGAACAATATTCATATAAGAAAATTGACACAAAAACAAGAAACCCATCAATTTTCATGAAAAATGCTTTTTTAATTAAGATTTAATTTGATATTTGAAAAGTCAACTCGGACAAAAGTTTAAATTAAGGAACTGAGTATTTGTTTAGTCATTATGTTCGTATATTCCATTAAATGCAGAGGAAATGCTAATTTTTTCACATAAGTTTCTTTATTAATTACGAGCGATGTAATATATTGACAAATTACTCTAGTCGCGAACCTATATATGCTGAAATTTGACTGAGTGTTCTTAACATCTTGGTTTTTGATTTGAACGATGAAGATCGAATTTGGAGGCCTGTAGCATCCGATTTCGAGCCCCGAACATCAATTCTATTTTTGTAATTTCTCCTCTTTCTTCAATTGATTTGTTGTTGCTTTTATTGCTATGTTGCTCCGTGTTTGACACTTATTGTATAATCAATTTGGAGAACTTTTGTAACCCTCTTATTGTTATAGTGGAGCTTTTCGGATCCTTGTGATCACGTATTTTATACCTTGGACTTGAAGAGTTTTTACGTTATAATTTAGTGTTCTTTGTGTTCTTTATATTCGGGTTTACCTCTTTCTCAACGTAACACGATCTTCACCAGCTGAATAAGGAATTTACGAAAAGAAAGAGCAAAAAGTACTCCAGAATGCATTCTCATTATGGCTGGTAAGTGACTCCAATATTATGCAATTATATCAGAGTATGTGTCTTAATCAAGTCTAGAAGACATGTAAGGTTAAATTTCTCGGATTAGTTTATTCAAAATACTATTACATGTTACGACCAAAAAACGTGAGGAAGCGTGAACATCTTTTATACTCATGAATAATAAAAATGACGAGTCTTTAAAATGGATATACTTTTCTTGCACGGAAAAATTACAATTGTATTTACACTTTGGAAGAACGTATGTTCCAAGGTAAAACAACTATTTCTGCACATCATTTTTCATTTTTTTTTTATTTAGCTCACTAGTTTGTAAACTAAATAACGGTTGTTAAAACAAAGAATGAATCTAAAAATAACAAGTACATAGTGAAAGAACACACCAGCCCAGCTACTACTCTTTAATCTTTAATTAGCACTTAGGGGTGTTAGTTTCTGCTGAAAAAATAGGGTTACATGCATGGTTAACATCAATAGAGAAAGAATATCTGCATGCAGATAGACTTCAATTTTCTTTTTACAACTAAAGATAATCGTTGACAATTCTACCACAAATTAGGAAATGTTACACGAAAGAGGTCGGTGAAAGCATTAAAATTCTATACCACGCGGTCTTAGGGTTTGAAACTAAGCTTCTTTTTTCTCAAGCCAAAACTATAAATAGAAGTTCTTTTGTTTCCAATTTCACCATCAAACTTTGCAACAAAAAATCATGACAACTTTCAACAAGTTAAAAATCTTTCTCTTTCTTTCAATTTGCCTTTCATCATCATGGTTTACCTCAGCAAATATGCATGATGACTTTCTTGAATGCCTTTCTCACAAAACTATGAACTCAAATTCAATGTCACAAATCATCTACACACCCAAAAACTCATCATATTCCACCATTTTGAAGTCTTTTGAAAGTAACCTAAGGATAACCTCCGACTTCAAACCATCAATTATTTTCACTCCTATAGACGAATCTCAAATCCAGGCAGCTATACATTGCTCCAAGAAACATGGCCTACAAATCAGAATTCGAAGCGGTGGACATGACTATGAAGGCCTTTCCTATATTTCTGAAACCCCTTTTGTCATCATTGATCTTAGAAACCTAAGATCAATCTCCATTGATACCGAAAACAAGACTGCTTGGATTCAAGCTGGCGCGACCCTTGGGGAAGTTTACTATAGAATCGCCGAGAAAAGCAAAACATTGGCCTTTGTTGCCGGGGTTTGCCCTACTGTTGGTGTTGGAGGACACTTTAGTGGTGGAGGCTATGGCATGATGTCCCGAAAATTCGGTACTGCTGCTGATAACATTATTGATGCTAAGCTAATCGATGCCAATGGAAGAATACTGGATAAAAAATCAATGGGGGAAGATCTGTTTTGGGCTATTAGAGGAGGTGGAGGGACTACCTTTGGTATCATTATTTCATGGAAGGTGAAACTACTCGATATTCCAGAAAAGGTGACCGTGTTCAACGTGACACGAACATTGGAAGAAAACGCAACTCAACTAGTCTACAAATGGCAACATATCGCGGACAAAGTTGATGACAATCTCCTTCTCAGGCTTTTTCTGAGTAGCAGTGAATCTCCATTTCGGCGTGGGCAAAGGACTGTCCACGCCTCTTTCACTACAATGTTCGTCGGAGGAGTTGATGAACTCCTCCACGAAATGCAAAAGAGCTTCCCTGAACTAGGGTTGGCGAAAGAAGATTGCATTGAGATGAGTTGGATCGAATCTATACTCTTCTTTGCTGGTTTCCCTAGGAGCACATCACTTGATGTGTTGCTAAATAGGAACATCACAACTAATCAAAGGGGATACTTCAAAGGGAAATCAGATTATGTCCAACAACTAATTTCTATAAATGGTCTCAAAGGTATATGGAAACTGTTCAACCATGTAGATGAAAATTCAGCGGAATTGCAATTCAGTCCTTACGGAGGAAAATTGAATGACTTCATAGAATCTGAAACTCCATTCCCACATAGAGCTGGAAATATATTTATGATCCATTATGGGGTGGGTTGGGAAAAAATGGAAAGTTCTAAAAAACATATAGCTTGGATTCGAAATCTTTATCGATACATGGCTAGGTATGTGTCAAAATCTCCTAGAGCTGCTTATTTCAACTACAGAGATCTTGATTTGGGAGTGAACAACAAAGGAAACACAAGCTATGCACAAGCACGAATTTGGGGAGCGAAATACTTCAAGAACAACTTTGATAGATTGGTGCAAGTGAAGACTAAGGTTGATCCAACAAACTTCTTTAGGAATGAACAAAGTATTCCTCCTATCTCATCTTAATTAAGCTTAGTGGTAATTTATGTAGTCCGCAAAGCCATTACTGTTGTCAAAAAATAAGGATTTTCTTACCGTTCTTTTACGTATATATTTACTAATAGTGAGAAATAAATGGAGCCATGGTGTTCCATAAAATTGTGTAAGATATCTTCTGATTTATGATTAATACATTTTATATTAAATGTTTTCACGTTAGGATTTGTGAACTTGGACATACATATGTGTTAATTAATAATAAATGTATGGTATTTGCTATCATATTTCAATCACAAAGCTCTGGCAGAAATGCAGGTTAAGACTGCGTAAAATAGACCCTTGTGGTCCGATCCTTTCCTGAACCCCGCACATAGCGAAAACTTATAGTGCCCCAGAGTTGCCCCCTATTTCAATCACCAAACTGTATCTTGATAATTTGACATGATTATCTGGAAGAGATGATGGTTTTCATCTTAAAGTTATGTATTAACAATATAATTAATCAACCATCTATATCGTATTAAATCATTGAGAAATGACACGGAGAGATTTTGAGTTGATTTTTGGTTAAAAATTTATGGAATAAGTGAAACCCTATAGGGTGTACAAGTATACGACTTGTAGAGCATCAGGTACAAATACATAGAGTCCCATAAATTTTGTTTGAATTTTTCCTCTTGACACCTTAACGAAGATCTTGGCCTATTGAACACCTAATGTTATCGATGTGCTAATTGATTACATTTTTGACATCTCTAAACAATCTAAAATGCTTAAATGCTAATCGAAGTTAACATGAAAAATAGTACAACGAGAAAAAGACTTGTCATCAAAGAAATTAAAATAGAAAAGTCAAAATCTAAATAAAGAAGAAGAAAGATTAACTGGAAAAGAAGAATTCCGGAAAAGCTCCATCTCTCTTGCCTTTTGCCTCTCTTCTGGCTTCTTAAAGTAAAAAGTTAGAATTGTGGGGCAAATCATTTTTCTTTTGAGAAGTGTTTGAGACAACAACAAAAAATTTCGAAGTCGAGTTGGAAAAAGATGGTCGGAATTCAACATTATGATGATGGCAGAATCTAAAAATTAAAAGTGGGAAAGAGAAGAAGGTCGTAATTCGTAAATTAATTTTTCCAGCAGTATGTTGAGATACAAGCAAATAATATTACTTAAGCCACTTGGGCCACCTCTTTCTTTTACTATTGGGCCCAGAAGCCCACAGTGTATTTATTTTAGTTTGTAGTGTAATTAATGGGCCAGCCCATTTTATAGATAGAGAGAACAATACATTTGTATGGACAGATTTTCATTCTGAGAGTGAATTTGCAAAATGGAAAACCTAGAAGCTTCCGTCTCTCTCTCTCTCTACCCTTACCATAAACTCAAACAAAACTTCAACGATTTGCGCGTCGATCAAGTTTTAAAATGGTATCAGAGCCCAGATTTGGATTGATTGGGTAATAATCTCTCGTCCGATGTTACCCTCGCACATTTTCATCGGGGTTTTGTGGTTCCGCTATTTCTTGGCATTTCTAAGCTTTTCCGGCGAGATTTTCCGGTGTTGCCAACGAAATTTAGTGCCTTTCTACTAGCACTTGAATGTTTCTGGTGATTGATCGAACCTATTTGGTATTATCTGAGACGTCTTCCTCAACCTAGGGTTTGGTGGTTTCTGCAATTGCACATTAAGCTGGGTTCGTTTGTTCTTATCACTGATTTTTTGACAAGGTCGTTATTCCTTCCGGTCGCAAAGGAAATTTGGTAACCCTAGTTATCTCTCCTCATTGTTTAATTGTGTGTGTATTTTTTCTGATTAATTATGTACAAAATTTTGAATGGTGATGATTCCACATCTGCGTTACCAACTGCTCGTTCTACTACTTCTAGTTCTGTTTTTATGAGGATGATTATACACATCCATGTCATCCCTTTTATGTGCATCCGTCTGATGTTTTAGGGTCTTCATTAGTTTCTGTACCTGTTGATGATACTGGGTATGGGAGTTGGAGAGGAACCATTCTTGTGGCTTTGTTTGTTAGAAATAAACTGGATTTCATTAATGGATCTTCAGTTAAGCCTCCTGACAGTTCTCCCTTGGCGAGACAGTGGCAGAGGTGTAATGATTTGGTCATCTATTGGTTAACCAACTCCTTGTCTAAAGACAGTGCTCGTAGTGTTGAGTACCCTGAACTTGCCAAAGATATTTGGAGTGAGTTGGAGAAAAAATATGGTCAAGTAAATGCTGTAATGGTTTTTGAGCTTCCGAAAGAACTAGCTCACATCTCATAGGGGTCACTTGATATTGCTTCTTATATCAATAAAATGAAGCAATTGTGGGATGAAATTGACGCCTTGTCAATCAGTAGAGTCAGGTCTTGTAGCAACTGTGGTTTCAAATCTGATTATCAAAAAGATGTTGATGTTCAAAAGGTGTATCAATTTTTGATGGGTATCAATAATGTATATGTGCAAATTAGAAGTAATATATTCATGATTAAACCTTTTCCATCTATGAACACTATCTATAATATATTATTGTCAGATGAGAAGCAGAGGCAGGTTTCTACCTCTCCTCAGCTTCTCCCTACATCTGCCTCTTTCAATGTTGGGATGTCTAAATAAGGCTTTCCTTCCAAAGTTAATTTTGATGCTCAAAGACCCCTTACATGAAAATATTGTAAGAAACCAGATCACACCGTTGACAAGTGCTACAAACTACATGTGTATCCTTCAAACTTTAAATTCACAAAAGGGCCTGGCAATAGGAAAACTGCAACTCATATTGAAGTGAACTCCCCTTGTCCTCCTGCTAATGTGGATTCTAATATGGTTCCTGATTCTGTCAAGTCATTTGAGTTTGGTAATGTTTCAATGGTTCCTGGTTTGACACAAGATCGATTCTCCCAGTTGATGATGATACTACAACAGTCCCATGTGTCTGCTGATTCCTCCTCTACTCCCACTCTGATGGTTTCTACTAACTTTGCTAGTAAACTGTTATCAGAAAGTATTCTGCTAAAGTCATGCATGCTTTCACAAGTATATAGTTTTGTTTGGATAATAGACTCTGGAGCTTCTGATCACATGACTTCTCGTAAGGATTTACTTTTTAATCTGCAACACTACCTATACCTTGTCTAGTTTCTCTACTAAATGGTTACAAAGTCAAAGTTCATTTAGTAGGATATTTGACTTTGTTTCCAAATTTCACAATTCATTATTTTTTTATGTTCCTTCATTTCAATACAATCGTATTTCAGTTCATAAGCTATTAGAACAATATAATGGGATTGTTCTATTTACTAGAACTCTTTGTGCTACGCAGGCCCCTTCTCTGAAGATGCCTTTGGTTCTTGGTAAATTAGACCACAATCTCTACAAGCTTTTACTTCCTCTTGTTGCTTCTCCTAGTACCATATCCACTTACTCTTCTAGAGATACTTTCCCTGTTATTCCCCCTGTTATTTTCCCTGTCTGTGTTTTTCCTGAGATACAAGCTAATGCAAAGAATGTAAATCTTACTGATGTTGATGAAACACATTTAAATACTGATGAAGTTTTGAATAATATCAATAAAATGGATGTGGTTTGGCATTATAGGCTTGGGCATATTTCTTTTTCTTGAATGAAACACATTTATATGCTTGGTTCACAGTTATCTTCCAAACAGTCCTTTTCTTGCCCAATATGTCCACTAGCTAGACAAATAAGATTACCATTTTCTGATAGTAGTATACAATCTACAAAGCCTTTTCAGTTGATCCACATTAACATCTGGGGTCCATATCACTCTCTTACCTATACTAGCTCCAAATACTTTGTAACCATTGTTGATAAATTTTCAAGAGCCACTTGGATCCACCTAATGGGAGTCAAAAGAAAAGCTTTTGACCTCTTAAAAGCCTTCATTGTCATGGCTGAAACTCAATTCCAATTGAAAGTCCAACATGTAAGAAGTGATAATGCCTTAGAGTTGGGATCCAACACTCTTGGATCAAATTTATTTTCCTGAGATGAATCAGACAACATGTCCTCACGCTCCACAACAAAATGGAGTTATGGAAAGGAAACACAGACATATTTTGGAAACTGCTAGAGCTCTTCTTTTCCAATTTGGCCTTCCTCTTAGATTTTGAGGAGACTGCATACTCACATCAACCTATTTGATAAATAGGTTCCCTTCTAGTGTGTTAAAGGACAAAAGTCCCTATGAAATCTTATATAACAAAATCCCCACATACTCAAATCTTAGAGCCTTTGACTGTTTATGTTACTCTACTATCCCAAAACCTCATAGGGACAAACTACAGTGTAGGGTCATTCCTTGTGTGTTTATTGGTTATCCCTTTGGGAAGAAAGCCTATAAGTTGTATGATTTACAGAATAAAGTCTGTTTTATCTCCAGAGATGTTATATTTCATGAACATGTTTTCCCGTTTGTTCAATCTGGATCTACTTCTCATACTATGTCAAATCTGCCATTTTCTACCTGTTTTGATCACTTTGTTAAGCAAAATTCTTCATTGTTGCATGATATCTTTTACCCTACTCCATTAGTTCCATCTTATGTTTCTCCTCATCCATCTAATCCTGCTCCTTCTGTTTCTGCAATATCTCTGAACAACTCTCCTGCTTCCTCTAATCTCCCTCTTTCTTTCCCTGAATCTGATTTTCCTCCTTTAATGAGATCATCTAGGCCTCAGAATTCTCCTTATTATCTGCAAAATTATGTCTGCACTCTACCTAATTCTAGCTCTAGGTCTTCCAAGTCAACTGTTATGTCTACTTCTAGTGAGCATCATGTATTTGAGCCTACTACTTATTCTTAGGCAACAGCTATCCCTGAGTGGAAAAATGCTATGAGGAAAGAGTTTGAGGCATTGAAGACTAATGGTACTTGGGACATAGTTAAGTTATCCAAGGGCAAGAAGCTAATTGATTGCAATGGGTATACAAAATTAAGTACAAAGCTGATGGGAGTATAGAAAGATATAATGCTAGGGTTGTGGTAAGGGGTATACACAAGTTGAAGGCATAGACTTCCATAAAACCTTCTTACCTGTAGTTAAAATGTCTACTGTTAAAACTTTAATTGTTGTAGCTGTTAAAAGAAACTGGCCACTATTCCAACTAGATGTTAATAATGCTTTCTTGGATGGGGACTTAGATGAAGAAGTCTTTATGAAGCTTCCACCTCGTCTTTCAGTATCTAACGTATCTCTTGCTTCTATTTACACTCCTTTGGCCTATAAACTGAAAAAATCTTTGTATGGATTGAGACATGCTTCAAGGCAATGGTATGCCAAATTGTCTCAATCTTTGTCCTCTAGAGGTTATGAGCATTCCTTCAATGAATATTCACTTTTTACTAAAGGTTCTAGTGATACCTTGGTACTCTTAGTGGTATATATTGATGATATCATCATCACTGGGACAAATCTATCTGAGATTGTTGCTGTGAAAACCTTCCTCCATGATCAATTTAAGATTAACGATTTAGGCCATCTTAACTATTTTCTGGGTATTGAAGTGTTGTATTCTGAGGGTGGGGGCGTTGTTGTATCAGAAAAAGGTTGTGCATGATATCCTCAAAGAGTTCCACTCATATGATTGTTCTTCAGTGATATCCCCCTTGAGATGCATGACAACCTGCAGGCTGATCATGGTGATCCCCTGCCCAATCCTGAGACTTATAGGTGTTTAGTAGGTAAACTCAATTTCTTAACCGATACAAAACCTGACATTTGCTTTGTAGTGAAACATTTAAGTTAGTTTATGCAGAGGCCTTGCCTTCATCACATACAGGTTGCTTTACAATTGCTTAGGTATCTCAAGGGTTCTCTTGATTTTGGGATCTTCTATAATAATTCTCCTAATCTTTCTCTTAGTGCTATTGTGATAGTGATTGGGGATTTTTCCCGGACAGTAGGAAGTCTATCAGTGGGTTTTGCATTTTATTAGGGGGATGTCTAGTCGGCTAGAAGTCCAAGAAGTAATCTGTTGTCTCCTTGTCATCTGCAGAAGCTGAATACAGGTCTATAAGTAAGGCCACTGCTAAAATCACTTGTGTTTGCAGGCTTCTTTCTGATTTTGGTGTTATTTTTTCTTCTCCTATTAGTGTGTTTTGTGATAACCAGACAACCATACACATTGCTAAGAATCATGTCTTCCATGAGCGCATCAAACACATTGAATTGAATTGACATTTTGTTCGCATCAAGTTGAATGAAGGTATGCTTTAGCTGCTTCACACTTCCAGTGCCAATCAGCTTGCTAATATGTTCACTAAACCATTGGGGGGAGTAGTTCATCATCTGTATCTTCGCAAGTTGGGGGTTATCTCACCCTCCAACTTGTCGGGAGGTGTTGAGATACGAGCAAATGATATTACTTAAGCCACTTGGGCCACCTTCTTTCTTTTACTATTGGGCCCAAAAGCCCACAATGTATTTATTTTAGTTTGTAGTGTAATTAGTGGGCCAACCCATTTTATAGATAGAGAGAACAATACATTTGTACAGACAGATTTTCATTCTGAGTGAATTTGCAAAATGGAAAACCTAGAAGCTTCCGTATCTCTCTCTAACCTCACCATAAACTTAGATAAAACTTCAACGATTTGTGTGTCAATCAAGTCTTAACACAATATGCGCTCAAGCTCAGGAAGGAGACATGCACTCTATCGCGTGTATTTAATAGGCATGTTTTTCGACAACATAAGATGCTCTATAGATTGATCTAAAAATACAAGTTAGAGAGAGCTATCTAATATTCTACCTATATGTTGAATATCTTATTAACAAAGATATCATGCACTTTAGGGGGCAATGATCGATTGAATTTTTTTGGTCCTTTTGATTATCTAATTGCTTATTTATAAACCCCCTTGTAAATTCGAAGAGGTGAGAGGGCGGGAATCGAGTTAGTTAGGTGGTTAAAAATAGAGTTTCCTTTTACAATGGAGGCCCCTAAAGTTTGAGATTGTGCACTTAAATCCTTTCCGGAAAATAATTAGGGAATTTGAAACAATATAAATAACAACTCACAAATAATAGAACTAGCTGATAGTATTGAACTTCTCAAACAAAATTACAATAGTCTAGTAAAGGAAATTGCAATAGATAGTAATTAAGGAACCCACATATAATGAAAAGAGAAGAATGGGGATGAGAACAGAGTTAACAGAAGGAGGTGAGAGGATAGAAACTTTCTTCAACAAAATAGCATGTCTCAGTAAAGCCTACTACTGACTACTTATAACTAACTTTGGCCCTTCACACGCTGCTTGG